CCCCGATCAAAGACAGTGCAATAACTTCACCGAATGAGGCTGCCTCTTTGAGTGCGCTTCAGTCACACTGAGCAGCTACCAAAATGCTGTGAGGCAATGTGCTCTTCTTCCCCCAACCACCACCGTCACTTAGCTGGACTTTTCTTTTTTTCCAAGACCAAAACCCAGAGACAAGCTACTTTGCTTTAATGTTCTTTAGAATACTGCTATGCATGCATCCTGGTGTTAATAACTTATTTTAGCCCTGTGAATGGGACTCTACTGGGACTGGATTTGTCTAGCGTGGGATACAGCTTGAGACCACATGACAGAGTTGGCTTTAAGGGGGTTCATGTGGGACTTGATGGCCTCTGTTCTCTTCCTTTGTTTTCCCTTGTCCTCTTCCTTCCCTATCCTGACCCCAACTCACACACAAGAGCAGCTCATCTTTTTCTACGGCAGTGACATTAAAGCTGCATGCTAGACCACGTTATATTTTTGGAAAGTCTTAACACCCAGGCCACATCTCAGACTATTAAATCAAATTCTGGGAGTGGGACCCAGATGTTGTATGTAGAGCTCCCCAGGTGATACTCGTGTTTGGTCAAGCTGTCGTGAGGGCGTTATCACCCTTGTTTCTTGATTGCATCATTGGAATGTGGAGTTAAGTCTCTTTGGTGACCTGTTGAGCAAGATCAGGAGCTACAGGGTTTGTCCTGTGCTGTGGTCGTATCTGTTTTCTCTTCTGCATATCGGGAACATAATTCCTAACATCTATTCTAGCAAGTCCTCTGCCAAGCAGTTGTCTGGTGCCCAAGCTGATAAACTGAAATCTCAGACATGCTGGAAGGATGTTGGGCTGCCACCATCAGCAAACGTTGGCTGCAGCACGTCAAGCATGCATATCACTGATTGATGATGGCGACTTGTCATGGAGTGCCATTGAGTGTGAGGCACTGAGTTTTACACCCATTAATCTCCGCTACAGCCTTTTGAGATGGTTATTAATACTCTTATTTACAAGGGAAAACTGAGTTTCAGAGGGTCTGAAGAGCTGGTTTGAGGTCACTAAGACAGAAGGGATTTGTACACAAGCCTGGCTAATTTTGAGGCCTGTGCTCTTAACTTTTTTGTGCTACAAAAATGGGCTCAATGTATATGTGTTTCATTTTCATCACCATTGTTATTCCAGAAATTCCCTCTCTGATGCTGTTGACCAATCAATCAAGTGAACATTAAAAAAAAAAGCAACCTTTTGAGGGAAATTTATGGAAATTAAAAAAAAATACAGAAATGTAAAAATAATAGTATATTGAACACCATGTACCCATCATCCAGCTTCAACAGTGATCGACACATTGTCAGTTCTGTTTCATCTTTACTCTATTTGCATCTCCCACCCCAAACTGGATTGCTTCAAAGCAGATCCTCAGACACAATATCTCTTCATTCCAAATAGACATTTTTGAGCCCCACTATGATCTGGGCTGTGTGCTGGTTGCTATGGGATTGAAAAAATGTCCTGACCTCTGCCTTTAAGGAGTTTACATGTAGAAAGGATATTATGATATTAAGACATATGATAAAGTCCCTATATAAAACAACATATAGGTACAACTAGTAATATTGCAAAAGCCCATTCACAAGTCAGTTGTTTGGAGTTCTGAATGCATTTTATTGTTGAGAAAATATACACAAATTAAAAGTTTCTCAGTATAAGCATCTTAAACAAAGCCAAAAGTAAATGACATGCATCAGCCTTAATGACAAAGAGCTGATCTTATATAAAGAACTCTTACAATTCAGAAGGAAAAAGACCCTAGTAGAAAAGTGGGCAGGAGATATTAACAGACAGGTCACGCAATAGTAATAAATAGCCAGTGAGTAAATATAAATGATGTTATCTTCCTTAGTCATTAAAGAAATACAAATAAAAGTGATAGTGGATAATTTTGCTTATGAAATTGGTAAAAATTGGAAGGAGGTGATAATTTTCAGGGTTAGGTGAAGGGAAGAAGCTATCCCTACCTTGCAGTTGGTAAAGTAAACTGCCACTGACTTTCTAATGGGATAATTTTGCAATATGGGTTGAAAGTCCT